GAAATCCTCCTGCTCTTTCTCACAGGCCGCTCAGATACAACCTTTTCCTTCCTCTTCCTTGTCACTTTCTCTTTCTTTTTCTCTCCCTTCTCTATTTTCTGAATTTTTCCTTGCACCACTTCCAAAATTAACCCAGCCAGGGTTTCCTCATTAATCACATTTTCTGGCTTTTCATCCAAAGCCCCATATTTACCCTTCAAAACTACTCCAGCATTCTCAAATACAGTGGACAAAATGGCTCCATACCCCACTTTTGTCCTACTGGGAACACAGTGTGCTAAGTGCTGGTACATTAAAGAAGGAAAATTGACCTTAATCTTCTTTGAAATATAGAAAATTACTGCCATATCCATCAAGCATGCTTCCCCCTTTTTAGCAGTCCTAGGCAGAATAGTCTTCTTTACCAAATTAAACAACATCTTGTTTAAGGGACTAAGATCATTATGACTCATGACCTTCTTCCCTCTCTGACCACCTAAGGCCTCAACAATATCACCAGTCAAATAGCTACCTACATTGACACTTCCCTTTCCCTTAATATAAGTGTCATACCCCTCAGTAGGAGTTTTCAGAATTTTACCTAGGGTTTCAATGTTCAATTCGATTTTTACCCCATTAACTACACTTGAAATTACTCCTAATTTTGCTTGAAAATTTTGGCAAAATTCAGTCATAGCTACAGGGTACATATAGTTTGCTGACACTCTTGACAACAGAAATTCCCAACCTTGAAACTTAATTAAATCAAGAAATTCGAGAAATCTTGCTTTTCTACACCAAACAACATCAATGCGATGACCAACTACATACCTTCCAGCCTGTGACTCAAGTTTCGCTTGATCAGTCACTTCCTCTTCTTCATCTTCCTTTTCAGATTCTTCCTTTTCTGAATTGTTCTCCTCCTCTTTATCTTCTTCTTTACCCTCACTCATCTCTTCTTCTACTTTGTTCTCCTCTGTTGTTTCGTTTGAGTTTTTCCCTTGAGCAAACTCGTCAACTTCCTCAATTTTCTCTTCAAGAGATTTTTCACTTTGTTTCTTTTCTTTCCACTCTTTTAATCGTTGAAGAATGCTTGAAACAGAGGAATCCCCTTGATCGCTTTTACTTTCAACTTCTTTTGGTTTCGGAGGAGATTTCCTAGGGTTTTCGGGAGTTTTGTTTGAGATAGAAGATGATTTGTAGTTTACCATGGCTAAGGGAGAAGTTTCTTCTTGAATTTTGTTTTCAGAGTGTTGTGATTCTTCTGAGAAAATAAATTCAGCAATGATCACCATTGATGCTTTAGGAAAGGTTTTATAAAAGGTTGAAAGAGTTTTTACTGAGAAGGGTTTAATTTGATTTGACAGTGAGGTGAAAGAAGTGGGTGAAATCAGCTTTTATAATAAATGAAGTGGTGTGAGGGAATTTAGGAATTTTCACTGTTCAGTCATTAATTGAATAATTTCAATTAATTTTTCAAATTTCAAATTACTGGATGATTCTTTCAAAAACTTAACTTTCCAAATTCAATTTATCTTAAACGAAGTTTCTATAAAACACAATTGGAACACGCTTTTTACATATGTGCAATGTACAAATTTAATAACCTATACCGTTGAGCAAGTTAATGAACTTACCTTTGGTAGTTAACAACGGTTACACTTTAGCTATGTTTATCACACCAAGGTTGTGGTATAAGCTCTTTTTGCTTTATTTACATTATTTTTGACTTTGCCATATCTTGGAACTTCAGAGGCTAGTAATTCAGCTTGATCATCCCAAGTTCTAGTCTCAATTTCTCAAATCTTTCTCTGTTCAAGGGCTTGGTTAGAATATCTGCAATTTGATTTTCAGTTTGACAAAATTCTAACTTTATATTCCCTTGCTCCACATTATCTTTTAGAAAGTGATGCCTAATGTGGATGTGTTTTACCTTTGAGTGTTGAACTGGATCCTTAGAAATAAATATAGCACTAGTATTATCACAGTAAATAGGTACACATTCAAAAATAATTCCAAAATCTCTGACCTGTTGTTTTATCCATAGAACTTGTGAGCAACATGCTGCCGCTGCCACATATTCAACTTCTGCAGTAGATAAAGCAAATGTGTTTTGCTTCTTGGAACCCCAAGAAACTAAATAGGGACCTAAAAATTGTACCGTACCTGAAGTGCTTTTTCTATTAATCAAATCACCTGCATAGTCAGCATCAGTAAAACTATTTAAATCAAAAGAATCACTTCTGGGATAAAAGAGACTCAAATCATTAGTTCCTTTCAAGTATCTTAGAATTCTTTTTACTGCTGTCAGATGAGACTCCTTTGGATTTGCTTGGAACTTGGCACACAGACCTACACTAAAAGATATGTCAGGCCTGCTAGCTGTTAAGTAAAGTAGTGAGCCTATCATACCTCGATACATAGATTGATCAATGCAAGTTCCAGATGGATCTTCATCTAATCTAGTGGCAATTCCCATAGGAGTATTATTGGTTTTGGCATTTTCCAACTTGTATTTCTTGATCAGTTTCTTAATATATTTTTGCTGATGAATCATGATTCCCTCTTCATTTTGCTTGATTTGCAAGCCAAGGAAGAAATTTAATTCTCCAGTCATGCTCATTTCAAATTCTCCACTCATAAGGTCAGCAAAATACTTGCATAGAGATTCGTTAGTTGCACCATAAAATATCATCAACATAAATTTGTACAACTAAGATATCAGTTCCATTTGACTTTAAAAACAAAGTTTTATCAATTTTGCCACGTTTAAAAACGTTAGCCAAAAGGAACTTAGATAATCTTTCATACCATGCTCTAGGAGCTTGCTTTAACCCATAAAGAGCTTTGTCAAGCTTATAGACATGGTTTGGGAACTCTGGATTTTCAAACCCAGGAGGCTGTTCCACATAGACTTCCTAATTTAAATATCCATTTAAGAAAGCACATTTAACATCCACCTGGTACAGCCTAAATCCCATATAAGCAACAAAGGCAATAAGTAAACTAATAGCCTCTAACCTGGCTACTGGAGCAAATGTCTCTTCATAGTCTATTCCTTCCTGCTGGTTGAAACCCTGTACAACTAGTCTTGCTTTGTTCCTGACTATAATACCATGTTCATCTAGTTTGTTTCTGAATACCCATTTTAGTCCAATGGACTTCTTATCTTTTGGTCTAGGTTCCAGATGCCAAACTTTATTTCTTTCAAATTCATTTAATTCAGCCTGCATAGCATTAATCCAGTCAACGTCAGTTAAAGCTTCAACATAATTCTTAGGTTCCATGGAGGAAAGGAATGCACTGAATGCACATAAGTTCCTAAGCTGAGATCTGGTTTGAGTTCCTTTTGTGATATCACTCATGATTACATCAACTGGATGTGATTTCTGATATTTCCAGGGCCTTGGAGTGAAATCCTTGATTGGATACAATTTTTCTTCATCATTGTTGACTGGTTCTTCTGTAGGAACTTGTTCATGGAACTTAGTTTGAACTTCTTTAGGTGTTTCCACATTCTGGTCTTCATTATGGACATCAGTCTGTTCTTGAAGTGGAGTTCCTGGTGCATTCTCCATCTCAGGTTCAACATTTGCTTCAGGATCCGTTACTTCAACAATTTCAACTTGCTGCTTCTGCTGTGATGCTGGTTCCTCATTTGGATTCTGCTTACGCACAAGTCCGATTTCGAAATCATCATCACAATCTTGTACATCAACCAAATGTTCAGTTTCATAAAATATAATATGTACAGACTCCTCAACACACATAGTCCTTTTATTATAGACTCTGTAAGCTTTACTATTCGAGGCATATCCTAGGAATACTGCCTCATCACTACGTTCATCAAATTTACCCAAGTTCCTTTTACCATTATTGTGAACAAAGCATTTGCATCCAAAAGATCTAAAGTAGGAAATATTAGGCTTTCTCCCTTTCATAAGTTCATAGGGAGTTTTATTGGTGATGGCCCTAACAGATACTCTGTAAAGTATATAACATGCTGTGTTTACTGCTTTAGCCCAGAAGTTCCTAGGCAGCCTGCTTGATATCAGCATTGTCCTTGCCATGTCTTCAAGGCTCCTATTCTTGCGTTCCACCACTCCATTTTGTTGTGGAGTTCTTGGGGCAGAGAAGTTGTGATCCATACCATACTCAGTACAGAATTCATCAAATTTTGAATTCTCGAATTCAGTTCCATGATCTGATCTAAGATGTATCAATTGATTGCCTGTTCTTCTCTGTTCTTTCTTTACAAAAGCAACAAACTCATCAAACGTTTCATCCTTACTTACAAGAAAGAAAACCCAAGTGAACCTTGAAAAATCATTAACAATAACCATTACATATTTCTTACCACTTCTACATTGGATTCTCATTGGACCATAGAGATCCATATGAATGAGTTCCAAAGGTCTTTTGGTACTTACAATCTTTTTGGACTTGAAGGAAATTCGGGTCTGTTTTCCTCTAGCACAAGCTTCACACACTTTGTCATACAGGAACTTAATGCAAGGAAGTCCTTCTACTAAGTTCTTAGATCTTATTTTATCAAGTAAAGAAAAGCTTGCATGGCCAAACCTTCTGTGCCATAAAAGAGGATCATCCTCAATAACACTAAGACATGTTAAACTGCTGTTAGGAACCTCATTAAGATCCACAATATATGTGTTCCCTTTACGAGTTCCTTCCAAAATAATGTTCCCAAGGTCATTGTGGATGATTCTACACTTATTAGAAGTAAAGCTAACAGAATTACCTTTGTCACAAAACTGTGAAATACTTAACAAATTGTGTTTGAGGCCCATGACTAAAAATACATTATCAGTGGCATGGGAACGTGACCTTCCTATCTTTCCAATAGCAATTATATCACCTTTCATATTATCACCAAAGGTCACTGTTCCACCATAGTAGGCATCCAGTGAGAGAAATCTAGATTTATCTCCAGTCATGTGCTTAGAACAACCACTGTCGAGGTACCAAGTGTTGTTCCCCCTCACTGGAACCTGCAAGAAGAATTAAACGTTAGAGTCAGGAACCCAGGTTTCCTTGGGGTCCTGTGTAACAGGAGTTGATTCATTTTTCTTGATCCAGATTTGTTCTACATGTTTGACATTCTTCTGTGTGCTTTGTTTTTTCTTAGGACACTTAACCTGCTTATGTCCTGTATTTCCACAGAAATAACAAACCATGCTACTAGGCATGTTGACATACTTCTTTTCTTTCTGGAACTTGTTTTTAAAACCTAAACCTTCAGTATTCTTGGTTTGAGCCTTAGTAATCCAATCAGGAACTCTATACTCTATTGGTTGCTTACCTTTCCTAGCTCTCTCAAGTTCCCCCTCAAGACGTGCCTTATCCGTTTTTAAATCTTCCAAATCATGTTTTAATTTTTCAAAATTCGGATAATCAGTAGGTGGAGGAACTTCAGAGTTAGGAGCATCGACACTAAGTTTTAAAGACAATTCCACATTCAGGAGTATATTATCTTGTTTCAGATTCTCTATAGTCTCTTTTAAATTTTTATTATCATCAAACAAACTAAAGAACCTGTATTGAATGTCAAACTTCATGTTATCAACCCATTCACTGTTCTCTTTGTAAGTAACTAAAGATTTATCACTTTGCTGTTTGGATCTATGTAATTCCTTTAAATCTTCTTGAATTTCCAAAACAATATTTATTAGATTCTCTTTAGACAGATGTTTTAATTGATTGTAAGAGAACCATACCTCAGACTCAAGCTCCTTTAGTTTGGCAGCTTCATCAGTTTTTGCCATTAAACATAAATGAGCAGTTTCTTCTAATGGTTGGTCCTCCTCTTCTTTTGAATCTGTATCTCCCCAAGCAGCTAGCATAGCTTTCTTCACATTTTCCTTGGTGAAGTAAGGGTTATAGACTTTTGATTCTTTGGACTGCTCTTTGCCTTTTGTCTTTCCTTTCTCTCCATCTTGTACAGGGCAATCCTTAATGAAGTGATCTTTTGACCCACACCTGAAGCACGTTGTGTTTCTGGAACTTGTGAACTTCTTGTTCCTGTCGAACTTCTTATTATTCATCATCTTTGTAAATTTCCTCACTAGTATAGCCATCTCTTCCTCATCAACTTCCGATTCTTCTGAATCTTGAGCCTTAATTGCAAGGCTTTTACTTCTGGAACTTTCAGTATTGGAACTCAGATGAAGTTCATGTGTCATCAATGATCCAGCTAGTTGTTCCATATTAAACTTGGTGAAATCCTTAGCTTCTTGCATAGCAGTAACCTTGGATCTCCAACGTTCATCTTGTGGTAGACTTCTTAGGATCTTTCTTGCCTGTTCATCAATAGGAATATGCCTGCCAAGGGAGTTCAGTTCATTAATAATATAATTGAATCTGGTAAACATCTCTTCTATGGTTTCTTTAGATTGCATTTCAAACCTTTCATACCTAGACATCAATAAGTCTATTTTAGAACGTTTTACCTCGTTAGTACCTTCATGAGTTACCTGTAGCAAATCCCAAATCTGTTTGGCAGACTTGCATCCCATGATACGGTTATGTTCATGGGGTCCAAGTCCACAGTGCAAATACTTTATTGCTAAAGCATTCAGTTCAAGTTTATGATAATCTTCTTTGTCATAATCAGAAATAGATTTAGAAACTACCTCATGTTTGTCATTGGTTGCAGTTATTTCAAAATCACCAGTTTCAATAACACGCCAAACCTGGTAATTTTCAGCCTTGATGAAAATCTCCATCCTGTTCTTCCAGTAGGCATAGAACTTACCATTGAACATAGGTGGACGTTGGGTTGAGTACTCTTCTTCAAGTTTCTCCTTGTAATTCATCTCTCCAGGAACTTACTCAGCAAAGTTATCTGCTTGCAAGTGAGAACCTTGCTCTGATACCAATTGTTAGTTGAGACAAACACTACAAGAGGGGGGGGGGGGGTGAATTGTAGGTGAGTTCCTAGTGACTACTTTTTCAAATATAAAACAGAATAAAATAGGAACTTGCAATGCACATAGGATTTTACGAGGAAACCTTCTAGTGCCCAACTAGAAGTAAAACCTCGACCCTACCTTAGGGATTTCGAACACAAACAATTTCACTATAATAGGGCAAACACCAAGTTACAACCTATTATAATCAAACCTCTACTCACAAGTTCCTGAACGAACCTGCTACATAATAGGATTCTATTCTACCCAGTCTAAGTCCCACACTCAGACTCTCTCTCGTACTCCCTAAGCACAGGTCTTCTCAACTTCTCAACAAAAGCTCTCTCTGTATGCAATGATAACAAAAACACTCTCACCCAAATAACCCAAACCAATTACAAGTAAAGACACCTAGTATATGATCGGCAAGCTATGCATGAAACCCGAAACTAATATGACAAGATGATAAGCTTGGCAAACTTACACAATTAAAGCTCTGTAAATTCTTCACGCATAAAACTCACAAAAAACCTAAACTCCTTTTTTTCTCTACTATTTATACAAGTATTACTTGTATAGCAAGTAGGTTTTCTTAAAGATAAATAAGTTAAACTTAACTTATCTTCATTCACGGTTTTTATGTAAATCATCATAAGAAAATATTTTCCAAAAAATAAGATAGAAAGATTTAGTTAAAAAGCATAATATCTTTTTAACAAACTGATTTTAAGAAATAAACATTTAAAGAAAATCTTTTTCGAATTCTATCTTTTATCTTTTCCGATTTTAATTTATTTGCCAAGCTAACTTGCCACGCTTCTGGTAGACTTCATGCATATCCTACTTAACATATTTAACAATGAATCTATAAGATACAATCTTAAATAAATCATTGCTGCACCGCGCTCCTGTACTGGTAGGTTTACTTGGGCTCCACGCTTACTAAGTTCCTCCAAAGATCTTAGCCAGCCTTCTTCAAGTTCCTGTAAAGGAACGTTCCTGTTAGGGAACTCAGTTCCTGTGAGGGAACACTTCTTCTATTTCGAATAACCTTCTTGAATAAAGAACTTCTTCAAGTCTTCTTGGTTTCAGTTACTTCTTTCATCTCCAAGATCAATTTCACCTAAACTAAACAAACACTTGAACAACCTTTATTAAATGAGTTTGCTGTAGTTTAAGTTCCTCATCATCAAAACCTTTAAACATCAACAAGTGGCATTGACATAATTGCCTTGATCTTGGTTGGGTCTATCTCTATTCCTCTAGAGCTTATGACATAACCCAAAAGCTTGCCTGAGGTGACTCCAAAAGCACACTTGGATGGAAGCAACCTCATATTGTATTTTCTTAGCTTTTTGAAGAATTTTCTCAAGGCTATTTGATGGCCTGGGCGATCTTTTGACTTCACAATCATATCGTCCACATATACCTCAACTTCTTTGTGCATCATATCATGGAGCAAGGCAGTCGCTTCTCGTTGGTAAGTAGCACCCGCGTTTTTCAACCCGAATGGAATTATCGTGTAGCAGTAAGTACCCCATGGTGTTATGAAGGTTGTTTTCTCCATGTCTTCTTATCCCATGAGAATTTGATTATACCCCGCGTATCCATCCATGAACGAGAAAAGTGCATGTTTTGCTGTGTTATCTACCAAAATATCGATGTGTGGTAAAGGGAAGTCGTCCTTTGGACTTGCCTTATTTTGATCTCGATAGTCGACACACATTCTTACCCTTCCATCCTTTTTTGGATCTGGGACGACGTTGGCGACCCATTCGGGGTATTTGGATACCTTGATAAAACCTGCAGTTATTTGTTTTTGAACTTCTTCTTTTATTTTAAGAGCTACGTCGGGTTTCATTCGACGCAACTTTTGTTTTACAGGTTTCATTCCTGGAATTAGTGGTATGGTGTGTTGAGATATTTCTCTATTAATGCCTGGCATATCTTCATATGACCAAGCGAATACATCGATGAATTCTTTAAGCAAATTGATTAAATCGGTTCTTTCTTGTTCATTAAGTGTTAATCCGATTTTAACTTCTCTTTTATTGGTTGAATCATTTGAGATATCAACTGTCTCAGTTTCCTCAATTATCGGTGTTTTCTTTTCAAGTGTTTCCATTGCTTTAATAAGTTCTTTGTCATTTTCATTGTTAGTTAAGCAATGCTCGTCATCTTGGGTTAAAGAAAAACACGAGGAGTAAGAGGAAGAAGACATATTATTGAATTCGAAAATCATTACATCGAAGAGAGATATGTCCTCAGGGACTTGATCGCTAACTATTCTAGGGGAAGAGATATAATAAGAGGGTACTACAACTAAAGATTTAGATGACTCTATAGGAAAAGACTCTGACTCTGACTCAGACGACTCTTCGAACATCGATCCTTGCCCCGTTGTGATGGAGATTTTCCTTCCGCTTGGAGTAGTCAATTTGACTTTCTTGCGCCACCCTTGTAGTGATCCTTCCGCTGGAGTGATGAACTTTGAGGGATCAAAGCTTTCGCTTTGTAGGATCGTTTGGATGAGCGAGGAGTTATCCTCTATGTACGTTGGCTCATCTTTTTCTCGCCCGAATAGTAATCCCATGACATTAAAGTCAAAGCATCGGGGTGCTTTCTCCTCGTGGATAGGAGTTGGGATTTCATCTAGAAAAAAGCAATCCAGGAAAATTTTGAATCCCGGTAGCCTTATGCCATTTACAACAAAAGGTTCGGGAAATTCGTAGCATGGATAGTCCTCTCCTTCTTTTACCATTGAGGGTAAGAGGATACCGATCCATTGGGATTGATTTCTTTTGGATGGGACGTTCCTACGTGCTTTTGACTTTTCCTGAGCTCGCTTGAGATCTTCCGGAGTCGGTAAGAAACCAAGTCCAAAAGTATCTAATTTAGGGAGGCCAGGTGATTCCAGCGATTTTGCTATTCCTTTCTTCTTTCCTAGGGTCATCCTAGGAAAATGTCCTTGTTTCTTCAGAATAGCGTTCACAATCATATTGTAGTGGGGGTCGTGGAAGAGAGGGGTCCTTTCATATTCCTCGATTAAGGAGACCTCTTCATTAAAGCCCCACAAATCTTCATCATCTTCATCATGCTCCACATTAATTATTGGATTTTCTATGGCTTTAATCCTCATGGGTGAAGCATCGACCGTAATGGGATTTCCTCCAACAATGGCTTTTACTTGTTGGTGGAGAGATGAAGGGACGACCTTTAGGTCATGAAGCCAAGGGCGTTCCAACAATAAATTGAATGAAGCCTTAATATCTACTACTTGGAATGTAGTAGCGTGTTCTATTGCTCCCGCCGTTATATTCAGAGTAATCTTGCCAAGAGCTTGACGACGAGTGTTGTCGTAAGCTCTTATTCCTTGTGTTGACAAGGTTAGGTCTTCATCCCTTATGCCTAGCATCCTCGCAGTTCTGAGTGGACAGACATTAATGGTCGATCCATTGTCTACAAGAGTCATAGGGACGTTCATTCTCTTGCAAACTACTGTGAGGTTTAATGCCTTATAATGCTTGTCACCTTCTGGAGGTAAGTCCTTGTCGGAAAAGGTGATCAAGTTGATAGGACTAGGGAGATCACTCGTAAGGAAGTTAGCCAACCCCTCAGGAGTGGTGTAAAAATCTATCCCTATCTTATCTAAGGCATTCATCATTTCCAACCTACGCTCTCGAGATGTTGCTAGAAGATTCCATACATTCATTTCAACCTTGGTTTTCTAGAACTGTTTGACAATATCATTGTCTTCTATGATAGGTATGGGAACTTGCTGTGTAGTTGGTATAGGTTGTGTCGAAATAGGAGGTTGCATTCTCCCGGATCTTGTGAGGACGTCTATGCATATGACACTGAAGGTGGAGGTCATACCATGTCTTTTAAGTAAACGTCTTCTTCATCACTGACCCACACTCCATTAATACTTATGTCTTCCTCTTGTGGAATTTGGACTAGCCTTTTGTCATTAATCATTTTCTGAATTAAATCTTTAAATTTAAAACAATTTTCAATAGTGTGACCCCCTAATTGATGGCATTGACAGTAGAATATATTTGTCCTTTTTAATGATTCAAATGGTCTCGGTTTGAGAGGTTTGACCTCGCCACTCTCGGAGAGCATATTGAACATTTTAGCATATGGAATCCCAATAGGAGTATAGAGTCTATTATTCTTCTTAGGTTTGTCAATTACTTGTAGAGAGAAGGGTTTTTTCTTTGTTGATGGAATCTTGTCACCCTTTTTCTGAAGCTCCTCTAATTGTTTCTTCGCAACTTCGAGAGCTTCACGCAGCAAGTTTGATCCCTCCAACATGGACAGTGTAAGAAATTGTATGTCCTCTTTACTTGCTAGTTCAGGAAAGTCATCCATGGCATCGAAAAAATCTCCTCCTCTTCTTCAATAACATGGATTTCTTCAATAGGTTTGATGAAAGATGAGGGATCAACCTCGTTTTCTTCATCAGAGATGGCTAAGGAGTGAGCGAGAGGTGCACTATCAATGCTCGGCTTTTTACTGGCACGAGGCAATGGCAGTTTGTTGTTGTCCATTAAATCTTGGATAGTTTCCTTAAGCTTCCAACAATTTTCGGTAAGATGGCTCCTAACTTGGTGATACTTGCAATTTGCATTGGGGGTTCCAATTAGCCGTCCTCTTCTCGACCGGTGGGTCCCCAAATGGTCCAATAGGAGTTATAAGACATTTTGCATTTAATCGGTCAAATGCGGTGTCATAACTCATACCTATAGGAGTAAAGTTCCTCCTAAATGGTTTATTTTGTCCTTGATTATTCATAGCAAGGACTTCACTTAAGTTAAAGGTACTAACATTGTTTGAGTGGGTAGTTTAGGAAGAAGAAGGATTGTCGTTCCTCTTGCCTTTCAACCACTGTTGGAGTTACTGTT